TGACTCCTCCCCATCCCCTTTTCTACTCTTGCTTTTTAGAAGCGCAGGTGTGAACCATCACACTCAGCTCCATTTGTTTTCTGTATGTAAAGCCATGTTGATAGAACTTCAGCCCGCGAAGTGTTCTCAGGTCTGATGAAGATGCCACCATCCCTGTGTCCTGGCTCCATCCCGCATGTGTGCCCCAGAGCAGTTCGAGGAGACCTGGGGGCAGGGTTACTTGCATTTCCTGTCACAGAGCTGCAGCACTCAGGCATGCTTTGTTCCTGTGCAGTGCTCTGCTGTTCCTCACATTCACACTGGAGAAAATCCAGAAAACCAAGCAGAAGGCATGGGGAGAGCAGGAGCAGAGAGACTGACTTGGGTCTGAACTGCCACACCACAGAAGTCAGACTCCATGCTGGGGCCTTTGTACCAGGCAAAGGCTGAGACTGTTTTCCATCTGAGAACCTTTTCCAAATTTTTCTTCTGTTTCTGTGTTTTTAAGAAATAAAAATGTAATGTAAGAGCATGAAGGGTTATGAAGCATGAAGTTCCATAAATATTTATGCTGAACCTCAGAAGTGGACAGCTCCTATTTTCCTGCCATATTGGGGTCATATTTCATTGTTGACCTCCTGAATCGGAAAGCCCAAGGCATTAGTGTGCCCTTTTCTTTCTTTCCTCTTTCATTTATTTATGTGCTTTCATTCTTTGGTGAGCTGTAGATGTTGGGAGCTTGCCTTTAGGTTTCTATTGGTATCCGTGGACTTCATTTTGCATCTCGGTTTTCAGTGGGTTTCTGAAAGCTCACGCTCTTACCCAGAGAAGTGATTTGTATGTAATTCCGAGCCTCTGGGACACTGTCTGCTCCGCTCTGTTGTAGACCATTGCCAACTTAAAAACAGACATCGTTGTCAAAGTCGTCTTAGTCTTGCATCTACAAGGTTATTTTAATTTGGCTCCTTCATTTTATTTCTCCTCACATAAAGTCTTTGGTCCATGGAACTTATACATGGTGATTGCAAAGAAGTTAGAAAATATGGATAAGCAGAAAAAAATATCTGTAATCCTACTGTATTTTTCTAATCTTTTAATCAAAATATGTATGGGTATTTCATATAAAGATAATTGAAAAATAAGGGAATATCAGTAAAGGTATTTGTGTGGAAAAGTATAACTTTTTGGTGTTTTTTTTTTCCTTTTTGGTGGTTTAATTTCCTTTCTACATATAACAATACAAAAATGTTATCTATAATAGAGTTTTCTTTTTCTTCTGTTGGTTAGTGAGGTTGATATATATTTTTCTCAATCTCAAGGCGCTTATGACTCAGAAATTTTTTAAAAAAATTTATAGTATAGGACTGGGGAGGTGGCTTAGTGGGTAAGAGTGCTTGCTGTGACTGCAACATGACATGAGTTCAAATCCTAGCACCCATGCAGCAGCCAGACATAAGCTACATGTGCCTATAACCCTGTTATTGGGAAACAGTGATGGGAAGATTCCTGGTATTCACTGGCCAGCTAGCCAGCCTGCCTGAACTGGCAAGCTTCAGGTTCCATGAGAGACCCTGTCTCAAAATATAAAGGTGGTAAGCATTTGAGGAAGGTACCAGGTGTTGACCTGAGGCCTCGCATGCACATGCACACAGGTGTTGTGAGCATTGCTTTAGCCATGTAAGGATGTGGTACATTTGTTTATGCTGCGTTCGTTTAATGATGTAAATATGGGTTGCTATGCCTGCCTAAGGCACCTGATTGGTTTAATAAAAATCTGAATGGCCAATAGCTAGGCAGTAGAGGGATAACAGGGCTGGAGGGCAGAGAGTAAGTAGGAGGCGGTATCTAGGCCCTAGAGAATGAAAAGAGAGGAGGAGGGAGAAAAAGAGGGAGACACCCTGGGCCGGCCAGCCAGGCGGACATGGAATAGGACCTACAGAATGAAAGAAAGGTTAAAAAGCCCAGAGGCAAAACATAGATAAAGAGAAACAAGGTAAATTAAGTTATGAGCATTCATAGCTAATAATAAGTCTTCATGTCTTGATTTGTAGGCTGGCCGTCCAAGAAGGCCTGCTACACACAAGTGCTTGTGTAGCTGTACACACAATTCACACACACACGGAGTAAGAGCAAAATGTCATAGTTTTATTTAGGAAGTAAGAATAATGAAGGAGCTTTTTGTGACAGAGGAGGTATATTAATGGGAAATAAAGAAAAATTATTGAAGAAGAGGCCCAGAGGGATTGCTTAGTATCCAAGAATAATTCCTATCAAAGCTAGAGGACCTGTGTTCAAATCCCTAATACCCACGTAAAAGCCATATACTGCTGTAAGTGCCAATCACTCTAATGTTGGAGGCTGCTTGAGACGGGAGCATTCCTGTCTGGATGCCTGACTCAGTCAGTGGATTTCAGGTTCAGTGAGAAAAGTTTACGAGAGAAACCAGGTGAAAGAGTAGAGAATCCCACTGTCCTCTGGCCTCTGCATGGGCCCCCATAGTGACATGTGCTTGCTCTCATGTGCGCGCACGCTACATACTTGCCATACCACACACAACACATAAACAGTAGAATCTAATGGATACCATAAAACTGCTTCAGATCGGTTAAGGAAAGTCACACGGGTATACATACAATTGTATAAATATGTGTGTTTACTCATTAGTCAGGAGATAAAAGTGCAGCAGTTAGGAACAGAGTGAGCTGAGGGAGGTCAGGGGAATGCGTCAGAGGTTGCTCGGAGTATCCCAGTAGCCGTCTGAAGCCCCTCTGCTCATGTCATTTGGTTCAGGGATGGTCCCATGATGGTTGGAACTGGCCAGGGCTCCTGACCACCCTTTCATAGCCTCTGTGTCTTCATATATGGTACCACTTTTCCCCTGGTTGTTATCTTCTGTCTTGCTGTTACCTTGGTAACAGAATACACACTCAGTTGGATGTAATGGTCTTGTCTTGCTAGACATCTGTGTCCTGAGCCTCGCTAACAAAGGAGGTGGCCACACCACACTGTTGGAGCTAACAGTGCAAGGGGAGGCCGACTGGGAGGATGGTCCTCCCCCAGAAGAGGAGTGTGTTTTCTCCTCAAGTGTGTTGGTAGGTGAGAGGTGCTGGAGATCAACTTTTCTTTTCTGCATGAGACCACGTTATTAGTGTAGCATAGTATCAAAGATAACTCTGTTCAGAGGATAGCCGATAACAAAGAAACTCCCAGCTGGTCAAAAGGCTGTGGCATGCTCACTGTATATGGGGCATCTCTACCACATCCCCTCCCAGGGCTCAGAAAATGTCATGCCGAAGATCAAGAAGGCAAGGGGCAAACAGTATCTTTTAGACGAGGCTTACAGAATCTGTGGCTGCCTTCCCAAGACCTTCACAAGGTCAGCATTCCAGCCTGAAGTGGAGCGGACTCACCAGCCCCTGCGCTCACTGAGAATCTTCAGAGAGTGGATGGCTGCCGAGGGAGGGAGGGAGGGAGGGAGGGAGAGAGAGAGAGAGAGAGAGAGAGAGAGGGAGAGAGGGAGGGAGAGAGGGAGGGTCGTTGTTTCAGGAGTATGGCCTCTGATTAGGTCCAATTATTCAGTGGATATAGCTCTATACTTATACACATATAGGCAGCACTAACTAGACTTCTGGGTTATTTAAAAAATAAAAGGGGACAGGACACAAGCTTGGGAGGGGATGATGTTGGGATAGGTAATCATATTTCATTGTATACATGTATGAAATTCTCAAAGATATAATGTGTACATACATGAAATTCTTAAAGAATTAATAAAAATACTATATTTTAAATGAAAAAAAAAAGCTTTGACCAGCCCTATTAGTACATGTGTGCCTATAATCCTAACATTTCAGAGGCTGAGGTAAGAGGACTCTGGGTTGAAGACCAGCCTGAGCCGCATAATGAGAGCAGTTCTCTGTGCAACATCATTTATCTTGTGGTACTAGGAACTGAACCCAGGGCTTCATACGTGCTAGATAATGTCTGTACACCTGCCTGTGTCCTCAGCCCTCTTACTTTAGTTTTTGATATCAATCTTGCTAAGTTGTCCAGGGAGGCCTTGAACTTTGGCCTCTCTTCTCCCAGCATGCCAGAAGGCCGACATTATACATCTCTTCCACCCAGTGTAGCTACAGTGTCACTGAAGAAAGATTATCTGCACTTCTTGCCATCTCTTACATATAAGTATATATTCATATTCTAAAAGCTGGAGTTTAGTGTCCTCAAGCATGTGTAAAACACTGGGCATCAACCCAAGCTGCAGAAAGCATTATCTCTCTGGAATACTGCTGTGTCGGGGCTTCAACACAGAAACTGTTTAACGATCCTTTTATCTCCCCCGTGACTGACTGTCCATCCCCTCTGCTACTTTCTGGTTTCCACTTTAGTCTCTGTTTCTGAAAGTAGGCCGCCAGCCTTTATAGTGTGGAATCCTCTTCTCTTCACTGAAGACAATTTAAGAATTGCTAGTTGACTTAGCTAGGTGTGAGTGTGCCTAGTTGGGACCAGTGTCTGCTGGAATGCTGGTGCTGGTCCTCAGTTGTGTGGTGGGAAGGCCTAGGTGCCAGGCTGGCTTGAGAGTTGGTGGAGACTGGTGTGAGGTGGGAGGGACAGGGCTGCCAGCTTACAGACAGTCTCGCCTCTCCTGGTGTGGTACTTCTAGTCAAACAAAGGTATATATTCCTTGGTGAAACAGGCTTGAAAAGTTGCTTAAGTGTGACATACCGTTCTATGAGTTGGGGATCCATGAGAATGGAATTTTCTTCCTGCCACTGAGTGGTGTGTATGTATGTGTGGAGCTTGGTGTCCAAGGTGAGTAGATCTCATTCAGAGGAGGGTTTTGCCACTGATGACTATGTGTGTCCTTGAAGGTTCAAGAATTTTAGGTTAATAAAAGTCTTTTTAACACCTCACATTAAACCTTAAGATGATATTTGCATTATTAGTTTTGCATATAAAAAGATGTCAGTTTTTGCAACAGCAACATCCTTTTCAGATATAATTAAATCTGTATGTTTTAGGTTGCCTGCTTGATTCGAGTTCCTTCTGAAGTGGTTAAACAGAGGGCACAGGTGTCCGCTTCTTCAACAACCTTGCAGATCTTTTCTGCTATATTAAATGAAGAGGTAAGGCTGCTTTTAGACCCCCCTCTTTCTCTGATGAGGGCGATTTTAGTGAGAACACTGTGACCTCGTAGCAGGGGCCTTGAGAAACTTTAGGATGGCCTTAATGTCTAACTACAATAACTTTTTTGCTGAGATTGTCTTTTCCTTTCTTTTTGAATTTTTATTTTCACTTTTTTTAAAAAAATTTTGAAGCAGTCATGTATTGAGTACTTGTAGTGATATTTCATTTGTATTTTAATGAATAAAGCTTGCCTGAAGACCAGAACGCAAAACCGCTACAGTAGTCAGCCGTACAGGCCAGGCAGTGGTGGCACACACCTTTAATCCCAGCAGCACACTAGTTAGCCACAGAGGACGAGCGGTGGTGGTGCAGGCCTTTAATCCCAGCACTAGAGAGGACTATAAGGCGGGGTGAGACGGGAGCCTGCTGTCTTTCGGTCTGAAGATTATTTCATAGAGGTGAGAGCTCTCTTGGCTGCTTTGCTGCTCTTGTCTTCAGGTTGAGCCCCAGTATCTGTCTCTGGGTTATTACTCGTGCTGCAAGTACCGCTGCTGCATATGCTCTGAATGTAATCTGTCTCAGTTGTCAGAATCAGACAGATTAATCGTGTGAAGGAACTAGAGGGCCCGTGGGAGAAAAGCAGTATTTATTATAAGATATAATAGTGGGCTGGTAATCATTGCCAGCATCATAATGTTACGTGAAATTGTCATTTCTCCTCTGGCATGGGGGCACATGCCTTTAGTCCCAGCGCTCTGGAGGCTGAGGCAGGCGAGCTTCCTAAGTTTTGAAGCCAGCCTGGCTTACACAGTGGGTTCCAGGCCAATCAGGGCTGCATCATGAGACCCTTAAACGAACAATTAAGTAAGTAAATGTTCTTTCTTTTTCTGATCAGTCTTGGCAGTGGTCAGAGCTGCCCTCCCTGGGCACATGTCTGACACTAGGCATGTTTCTGTTGTCCTTGATCAGTTTAGCGGAAGCCTCTGTTGTTCTAGTTTGCTTTGATATATGAGTCAAAGTCTTGCTGTGTTGCTCAGGTTGGCCTTGAACTCCTGGGGGGCTATTCATTGTTGTTGCCTGGGCTGTGGCTGTGGCTTCTGCCATCATGTGTCTCTCTCTCTCTTTTTTTTTTTCTGCTTTCCTTAAATTATGTGAGCCAATCTTAGTTTAGGGTTAAAGAAAAAGTTATTCTTTATCTTTGTTTTGGAGATGGGGACTTCCTGTGTGACACTGGCTGGTATTCAGTCTTCTTCCTCATCCTCCTGAGTGCTGGAATGACAGGTGTATGCCACCAAATCCCTCATCTTTCTGGACTGTTACCAGCTGTAGGAATGAGGTCAGTCCTATGGACTGCTCACTGGACCATGTGTGTACTTAAGCACATAACACTAGGCTTATCTGTAATACATACTTTTTGAGAGATTATTGACCAATTTCTTAAATAAGTCCTCATCTTACATTAAAGAATGATGGACTGACTTTTGGAAATGTATACAATGTAAATGTTTTCAAAAGATAAACACTGTTACTTAATACATATATATTGTTTCGTTATTAGAGATGTCAACTTCAGGGGAGCTAACTGCAGACTTGTGTGCTTTAAACCAGTTTATTATGTTTAACTTCAGAAAACTATGGCTAAGCAATGTCTTAGAACTCAAATTTTGGAGCAGGCAGGTCTCTTTCTAGAATGTTCTTCAATTTTCTGATCACTTGGCTTTTGTTTGTTTCAGGGGATCCAAGGACTGTACCGAGGCTATAAAAGCACAGTTCTGAGAGAGGTAATCCAGTTACTACTACTCCTGAAATCCCAAAGCAGGGGTGGGCTTTGATTGGTGACCCTATGCTTCTTAAGAGTCAGGAGGAGAATGCCGTCACTCAGGAACTGCTTAGCTGCACCTTGGTTCTTCCATGTAGAACGCTCGTGATGGTTTGCTGGGCAGCTGGTGTCTCTGTCATTCCAGCTGGCTAAGCACCTGCTAGCTGAAATAGTAAGGACTAACACGGCAAGATCGGCTATGTAAAAAGCCCACCACAGGGAGGTAGCTTTTGGTTCCCCCATGTGAAACCGAGAGAAGTCCAGCGCTTTCATCTTGGGCCTGCTAACTGACATGCTGTACTTGGCCCCCAGTAATGACGTCACTAGATACTGCCATCAACATGCTTTAGTCTTTGCTTCCAGCGGGGAGACTGAATTTTTACACAGTGAGGTGTGAGAAACGGTTTTAGTCTGGGACACAGTTTTCCATGACAGAGGGAAGAACTGGCTGATGTTTCCTCCTCTTCTTGGAGTCCTGCGACTGAAACATTTTAACTTGCAAAAGTATTTCTAATGTAAATAATGTGGAAGTTAGGAGAATATTGGTCATCTTTTGAAAACTCTTGTTTTGTGCTCCCTGTGGCTTACAGGCTGTGTGTAGTGTGGCCTAGGCCTTTGGTTTTCAGGAGGTTGTTGTGGAGCCTGACAGCTCCCTTTTTGGCAAACTGAATGTTCATCATTCGTAGTATTGTGCATGTGTTCCTATTGTCTGAGAAATCTCACCCGAATGAGTCTTTCTGCCCTTCCTTTCTGACTCACGATACCTGTATTCTTTGCTCCTCTTACACCTGCGTGCAGGAAAGAGTAATCAACATTTTTTTAAAATTTTCTGAAAAGGGCTGAATAAATGAATATATTTCCATTCCAGAGAGTGCTAGTTTTGCATACAAAGAGATAAAACACATGCTCACAACTGTTGTTCCATCCTCTCAGAAATTTGTTTTGACATATGTCGTGCTAGTAATTAATTTTTTGGCTGCAATCCTCGTGAATCGTGTGACCTTACTGAGATGACTTTGTTTACTCAGAGTGGCAGAGCTTTGCTGGCAGTTTGATTGGGGTCTTGCGCATTGTGCGTGCTCATCAAGGCTCCTTCAGAGCTGATTTCAGCTGAGGTGCTGCGCTGTCCGCGGCCTCAGCTGGGATGAGAGGGAGTTACTGCGGAATGAAATGCAGCTTCTCCAGGTGAGACAAATCAGAAGGGATGTCTGTTGTAAACAACAGTTTGTATTATGAAGAGTTCCAAGCCTTGCATTAGCCTGACAGTAATATAAAATCTGTCTAGAGCACATTTGATTGTTTCAATAAGAAACACACAAAAACGTTAGTGAGAACCACCAGGACATGTATGCAATTTGTTCAGTGTGCAATTTTTTCTTTAAAATAGTTTTACCTCACAAGCTACTGCCTTTAAGAGGGGCTTGAAATTCAGCTGCATGCATTAGAAGCAGGATCTGCGTTCTCTGGGCTTTGTGAGCACTGCCACACAGTGTTGTGTTTGTTCTTTGTAGAGATTGTATAACTTGCCTCTTCTTCTCCCGAACTTGTTAAGTTTCTGTGAATTTTGCACTGAGTCTGAACAAGATCAACAGATTAGACTATTTACCTCACCTTTTCTCTTTTCTTCTTTCTCATGAACTTGACCAACTTAGATACGGCTGAGCATCTTGGTGCATTGGGGTTACTGCAGTAAGATGGAGGTGGGGAACACAGTCGTGTTTGGGGGTGTAGGCAAGATGATTTTAGGTCCATTGACCTGAAGGTTTTATACAAACTAGCCTCATGCTGTTGAGTGTGAATTAGAGGGACTTAGGTGAGGAAAGAAACCAGAGAAAAACAATCTGTTTTAAAAGAGCTTAAAGTGAGTTAAGTTCAGCTGATTCCTTTATCTACAGATTCTACTTAACACTGTGCAGATAGCTCTGTCTGGTTGGGGAAGCACTCAGGGGGGTCTTCTTTACCGTGCAGTTAAGGGCTGGTGAGAGTTCAGAGGGCGCCCATCCGGGTATACCCACACTTGTTACATTTATAATAAAAGCAAGCTTTAGAGCTGGGGAGGTGGTTCAACTGGTAAAGTATCTGGTACACAAGAGTGAGGACCCCAGTACCGACTTCAAAAGAGGGTTGTATTGGCAATTGCCTATAGTCCCAGGGTTGGAGAAGCAGAGGTAGCCAGATCTCTCGTGTTCACTGGTCACCCAGCCTAGCGGAACTGACCATTCCAGGTTTGGTGAGAGACTGTGTTCCAAAAATGAGGGGGAAAGTGATTGAAGAAGACACCTAGTGTTGACCTCTGACCTGCACATGCTCACACATACACATATGTACACTTGCATACATGTGCATGTGAGGGTACATACATGCACACACGGACACAAAATGAACCATGATTCTTGAAGGCTTACAGTTAGAAGTAGTCAGAGAGGTGAGCAGATGTGATAGCCTGGACTAGGACAGGAACGGAGTGTGTGTTGCATGTCTAAGTAGAATCCAGGATTTCCTGTTTCCCAGATGGACCGCAGGCCAAGGAAGGATGCTTTCAGAGAGCACTGATAAGGTGGAGTGTTGCAAGGAGGATAAATTGAACTTCTCATCTCAGCTGCATGTTTACTAGAAGACTGAAGGGGAAGACTTGGGAGATGCCCCAGAAAGAGCCTGACTTTGTGTCCTAGAGGAGAAAATTCCAGTTTGTGGGTTTTCTGCTCAGATCTGAAGGGATGATGCTGTTTGTGCTGTCTTGGTTGTAGATATTACCATCTTAATAATGAGTAACTCCTGGCTTCTTGTACAGGAGTGTAGCCACTCGATAGTTTGGAGGTAGATAAAGATACCCCCTCCCCCGACACACGTCTTATAAGCAGGTCAAATGGATAGTGAGTGCAGCCTGTTCTGTAAATTCAAGACCCCAAACTGAGATGTAGAAGTCATTGAATAGTTCACCCCAGAGGAGATGGCCTTGCTTTGCAGACTCAGTCTCTCTTGTTATTCCTGTCAGGAAACAAGTATCCCCTTCAGGGATGTCTATGGGTTGTCCTTAGAATTTCCTTTCTGGTTCTGTTGTTTGCTCTCTCTCCGAGTCTTCCCTCAATTCATCATGTTGTTACGGTCTCTTGAGTGCCTTCTAGGGCCATTCATTTCATCCTTCGGGCTCCATCTCATGCTGAAGGTATTTGCTAGCCAAATTGGATTATTTTATTCTTTATGATTGCATGGTGCTTGATTGTACAAATGAACCTTTATTTACTTAGCCAGCCCCTCATTGGTTGCCATTACAGATACACCCCAAGGTGTAATGCTGTTTATGTGCTATCTTGTACACGTGTGCCAGGTTTTTTGTAGGTTACATGCCAAGACATATGAATGTGTAATTTTGACAGATAATGGGAAGTTGAGTTTGTGGAAGTACCAGCCTGTATTTTTGCTGAGAATTCTGAAGCTCCCTTTCCTCGGGCTTACTGGTGGTGCTAGTGGTTAGGAGCTGCAAATGATGTTTTAATTTTAAGTAAGACTGAATGCATTAATATGTGTGTTAGAATTCTTTTGTTTATTGGGTTATTTGAACCAATCACCATTCTTTGGAGAATTAACCCAGAGGATATATGTAAATCTCTTTTTTTTTCATGCCTCTTACCTAATAGAAGCTCAAGAAACATGATCTAAGTTTGCATTCTTGATAATCAAGTCTTTAAAGTTGGAGGCGGGGAATGACTAGTTCAAGGCTTGTATGAGGGACAAAGCCAGAAAAAAGCCTTTAACAGTAAGAAGACACCTACATGTAGGGTACAGCTCTGCCCCAGCTAAGTTTCTGCAGTTGGCAAGTGCTGTTTCCGATCCCCAGTTTTCCCTGCTTTGCCGGGAGCTTTGCATTCGGTCCTACTGAACTCTTAGGTAAGATGGACACTAGGGCAGCCTACAGGACACCCAGGTTAAAGCTGACTTGAAGCCTCTTGGTTCTGTTTACATTTGAATGTGTAACTGTGGTTCATGATAGGAGGTGTTGGAAAGAGGGGTCCAGGACTAGGGTCAAGATGCTTCATCCAAGTATCTGCGCGAGAGGAGTTTTATCATTATAGATATAGTGTGGAGTAGAGTTACCCTAATGTTTGAACTTTTTAAAATCATTAACATAAGGTCAGGAGAAATTGTGATTTTTAAAAATTCTGTTGCTAATTTACTATAAAAAGCTAATTTGCAGCTGGGTGGTGGTGACACACGCCTTTAATCCCAGCACTCGGGAGGCAGAGGCAGGCGGATCTCTGTGAGTTCGAGGCCAGCCTGGTCTACAAGAGTTAGTTCCACTCACCAAGGCCAGCTGGCCTGGGTCTGAAAAAGCCCTGGATAAAACCGGTCTCGCTGAACATAGCGGACAATGAGGACTACTGAGAGCTCAAGAACAATGGCAATGTGTTTTTGATCCTACTGCACGTACTGGCTTTGCGGGAGCCTAGGCAGTTTGGATGCTCACCATACTAGACCTGGATGGAGGTGGGTGGTCCTTAGACTTCCCACAGGGCAGGGGACCCCGATTGCTCTTTGGGCTGATGAGGGAAGGGGACTTGATTGGGGGAGGGGGAGGGAAATGGGAGGCGGTGGTGGGGAAGAGACAGAAATCTTTAATAAATAAATAAAAAAAATAAAAAAAAAATGTAAGAGAAACAAACAAACAAACAAACAAACAAAAAAAGAGTTAGTTCCAGGACAGGAACCAAAAGCTACGGAGAAACCCTGTCTCAAAAAATTAAAATAAAAAAGCTAATTTGCATTTTTCAAATAAGAACACATCTTAGTTTGCTTTCTATTGCTATGATTAAAAAAAAATTCTGACAAAAAAAAATTCTGACCAAGAGCAACTTGGGGAAAAAAGGGTTTATTTGACATTTCCATGTCGGTCCATCATTGAGGGAACTTACTCAAGCAGAAACAGAAGCAGGACCCATGAAAGGAATGCTGCTACTGGCACGC